CACTTGCAAGTAGACCATCGACTCGTGACTGGTCTGTTTTTTCTTGTTGTTAGGTCTTTTTGTTATAGTTGCGTCTGCTCGAACTGCAATTACAGAACATATAATGTGACCGCAACCAGAGGTCGGGATAGTTGTCAACGCCGATGAAATCGGTTCCAATTTTTTGTTAGGTCTTTTTGTTGTCGTTGCAACCGCTCCAACTCAGAGCAATTTGCAACTCAGCACACCCTAGCACAACTGCAGGACATATAATGCGAACGCAACTAGGGGTTGGAGGAAGGGTTGTCGACGTCGATGGAATACAAGCAACTGTAGGGCCCGCATGTCACTTGCAAGCGGATCATTGACTTGCAACTTTGGGTGGTTACTCGATGTCAGTTGCAACTCAACCCCGGACCTGCAACTAGCCAAATTTTGTATGCTGCTTCGTAATTGCCCCAGTAGCATGTCCACAATCGTCTCGCAACTGCAAGGGCCCGCATGCCACTTGCAAGTAGACCATCGACTCGCAACTGGTCTTTTGCGTTGTTGTATGTTGTTGTTTTTGTTCTTGTTGTTGGTTGTTGTTGTTATTGTTGTTGTGTTGGTTGTTGGGGGTGTTTACTCGACGCCACTTGCATCTTGACCGTCTACTAGCAAATGGTCAGACCATCGACTCGAAACTGGTCTGTTTTTTTACTTTTGTAATTGTCCTACTTGCAAGTCCATTATCGAATCTCAATTGTGGTTCCCACATGACAGTTGTAAGTAGACCACCGACTCGCAACTAGGGTTGCTTTACTCGATGCCACCGTCAACTTGACCATGGACTTGCAACTGGTTTGTTTTTTGTATGTAGTTTTTGCAATTGCCCTAGTTGCAAGTCCATCATTCACTCACAATTGTGAAGGGCCCAGATGCCAATTGCAAATAGACCCTCGACTCGCAACTGGTTTGTTGTTTTTTGTAGTTTTGTAATTGCCCTAGTTGCAAGTCCGCCATCGACTCACAACTGTGGGTGCCCGCATGCCACTCGCAAGTAGACCATCGACTCACAACTAGGGTTGTTTACTCGATGCCACTTGCAACTCGACCATCAACTTGCAACTCGGCTTTTTGGTTATTGTTTGCAATTGCCCTAGTTGCAAGTCCACCATCGACTCGCAACTGTGGGGGCCCGCATGCCACTTGCAAATGGACCCTCCACTCGCAACTGGTCTATTTTTGTTTTGTAGTTTTGTAATTGCCCTAGTTGCAAGT